TGGAAGCAGTCCAAGTGTTCTGCGACCCGAAGGATTACTACATCAGCATTAAGTGCTTAAATTAAGAAAAAGTCTGAAATATTAATCAATTAAACGATGTAATATTTGATAATACCTAAGTTATGAGTGAAAGAACCCTAGAACATTCTGTGCTCAAAAGTATAAATAATGTTGAGAATACCTTTACAACATTCGGTTGAAAGTGAATGTATAGTTTAACAATGCACACATGAAACCTTCAATATAACGTATATAAAAAAAACCTGATAGTAGGGTGCCTTCTTTCACAGCATTCCCATCTTCCAATCCAGAACGAGAATTATCCTTGTAAATCTAGCTACAAGTAAGCTAGGCGGCTAGCATACCAATGTTCTGTGTTCCCTCGATGAGTCCACGATGAAACCTTTGAACTCCGGACGATATAACCCTCTGTGCACAACTGTTGAAATCCTGAGTCGCTACCCCCTGGGTAAAAATTGTTGTTGAATCTTGGGTTAACAACCCCCTGGGTGAAACTGTCGTCGAATTCTGGGCTAACAACCCCCTGGGTGAAACTGTCGACGAATCTTGGGCTAACAACCCCCTGGGTGAAACCCTTAAAATATTACAAAGAAAAATGTCAATACACATTGACTCAAGTATCCCGAACTATAGGATTACCCAAAAATGTACATAAACTAGAAACTATTCAGCATCTAGGAAAAAGAAAAATTACATTGGCTCAACAGTGAGCCATAAACAGTATTATGAGCTCAAATAATTAATATTCTGTTACACCATGCCATAACATAAAAGAAATTGACAGCCACATGGTGCGTAACATAACCAAATATATACAAAACATACCTTTTTCGTAAAGGGTTAACTTGGTAGCCTTCCAAGGATGAGAAACACGTGAGATGATCCACAGCACAACAATATTCCACACTCCAAATGCTGTGAACTTCCAATTATTGCGTTAAAATCCTATAATAGATATGGGCTGGACCAATGACCATAGGAATTTACCAATACACTAAAATTCCCCTCAAAATACGAAATGTCCATTTACCCACAATTAACCATGAAGTAGAATCTAAAATCCCCTTTAATTAGGGTAAGCCGATGGGGCTAAATATTAAGAAAATTCTATTTCGACACAAAAATCGTCTCTCTCGTGACTCAACACCCACTGACAAACAATACGTCCGCCGTCCAAAATGGCCGAAATCCCTTTCCGATAAATGTCAAGTGGGTTCAGAAATTCATCCTCAAGAATTCCCCACTATATAACTTAAGAGACCATTTACGAAAGGTACCCTAAAAACTATATTTATATACAGTATAACTACATTTGGGAAACTGTTCCCGACAAAAACAAATTAATACAACAGCGATCGCAAAAAAAATCCCTCACGACTTAAAATCGCTCATTGTGAAACTACCTTACCTCGGGTTCTGAGCCCGATATTGGAACGTACTACAAACATGACACTTGTCGGTGTTCTGTCGTCAAATGACGTTTATGTCATTCACTGTCACAATTAAAAAATATTAACCTAACAAAAATAAGCAATGAAATTCTTAAAGAATGGTATCGTAAATAATTAATTACCCAAAGGTGAGACTATAATACATAATATATATAAGTTTACAACGAAACTTGGTCTATTTTTAGGAGAACTATCATCCTTTTACTTAGTGGTGAGATGAAATAAATTGTAATAATGATGTCCGAAAGTTAGAATACAGGTGAAATTAGTTAATGACAAAAATAATAGTGATATCATCAATACGATTTTACCCTTTTTTTTTTCGTATGATTAACCAGGTAAGCCAAAACAATTTTATTAATTCGTGGGGCCAAAAATGAACGTTACAATTCCCCTACAGAAAATAGATGAACATGTTCCAAAACAGTTTGTTTTTGATTATTTCAAAGTACGTAAATCTCTGTCTGGAATACTGATGTGTATTTGCTTCACTAATGCCTACAGCAATTTCAGACCCATCAGTATTCCGGGTTTGTAGATACCTTCATCTTGCCTCATTATGTAAGCCTAAAAGTGCTTCCATGGGACCTGCTGGAGTTCTCTTCATTGTCAGCTCAGTCTAGATATTGACATTCTTTGAAGACGTCGCAATACCTTGTTATTTAGCCAGTGTGCCATTTTTTTAAAGAGGCTTCTTGCAGTCACTTGTGACGTTTCCACTATCTTTGCAGTTTTATCCACATACTGATTCCAGGTAAGTCTAGAATAAATTGTAACATTCCGATAATTAGGTAACTTCAACTTTAACTGGATATTTATGCTTTCCCCTCGTTGATTTACGATAAATTTGTTGGGGCGAAACAGGTAATTTACTTGTTTTGTGATCATATTTGTTCTATATCTGACGTAATATTGCTACCTACTTCCATTGTTATTCGTCAATCATTTCATTAGAATTGTCAACATAATTTTAATATAATTTTAATAAATGATTAATCTTATTTACAATATAACTAAATACATATCTACTGTAAACTATCATGAGACAAAAGAACCGGTATATACTAATATTTTGTCTGAATTAAAATCTATACGGCCGAGATAGCGACGAAGAAATTCCTAAAAAGAAAACTAAAAACTTGTTAACTAACCGGCTATCTATTGGATTGGCAAAGAAGAAGAAGAAATCTTCTTTTAATGAGCCATGATCCAACTCTGCACTCACGAATCCCGAAGAGGCGGTCTTCTTGGAATCGTGCATTGAAGTGACAGGTCAACACAAAACGAATATGCGACCAGTGGCCGGTAAACAGACTTGCCGCTGGCTTCTTCTCCTCTTCTTCTTCTTCTCCTTCTTCTCCTTCTACTGCATCTTGACAAGGATCCGATCAACTCGAAGGTGAAGAGTTTTGTATAGTCATTTTTTTATGCTCTACTATGGTGCGATAACTTTTGTCAAATTACAATGTGGGTTGTTGGTTATTAAAAATGTTTTGCTTTATTTACAGCATCAATCACCAGTAAAAAAAATAATTACCGAAAATTTTCAAAATTAAAATTGTTTCATTTTTTTAGAGAGCGCCATTCTATTTTATATCAATTCGATTTTGAGCAAAATAAATTTTGGCTCTTTCAATATAGAGAAATGGTATCGGTTAAAATTTCTATAAATTGAATACCCGACCTGCTGAATAAACGCGTCCATACTTTGATTAATTTTTGAAATTGATAAATTTCAATATTGCACCTTAATTGCAGAATAGATAATTCTTGGAAAATTCACTTATATTTCTTATTCAGAATATAAGGTCTGTTTTAGAGATTCATCAACTCATTATGGTATATTGTACACAAGTCGATTCCAGTCTTAGATACGAGTTATGCCTGTGGGGAAATTCCGTAGAAGCTATAAACGTATTTATTGCATAGAATTGAGGTATCCGTTGCATTACTAAGATTCCACAAAATTTCTCTAGCTAGATTATTAATTTTGAACCGTATGTTTAAGATCATAAACACGATATATTCGTCCCGCAAAACACGTAGTGGCGTATCTCATATTTTGTACTTTTTAAGGAGAAGCATTAAAAGTTTTAGAGGCAACTTGCAAATCTTTTATCGTGCCAAGTAAAGCAATTATTGCAATTATTTCGTTGTAGATGAATACTATAGGATTATACTACTATACTATAGGATTTCAAAAACCTTAAGCTCAGTTTTTGGAAAAAAAATATTCTAAGTGAGATACGTCACTTTGTGATTAATTTTTTTTTACTCCAAAATACAGATGACCACTTACGCCATGTGATTAACTACGAATTAGGTAACAAAAAATGTTCGTATTCTAACCAAAACCTTTATTCATGAAAACATAACGTAATATTCGTAAAAACATAAAAATTACAGAAAGACAAAAATTTAAAATAAGCAGATAATGTATTTCAAATTATTTCAATAATCATTATCATTGTGAGGAAATGACTCATAAAACTTCATGTGTTCCTCTTCTTTTATAGTTGGGGTATTTCCTTGGGTTAGGGCGATTAGGTCCATATACTTTGTCTTGCTTATCTTGAAGATGACTAGTTTTGAAAAAGATTGTGTTGGGATTCCGCTTACATAGTTTGATCTCCATTATTTTACTCCATTTAACAGCATGATCTCTGTTTTGTAGGATTCGCAAGCCTTGGGACAATTTTTTGAAATCGTAGAAATTGTTGAATTTTAAGGGAGTGACATCGTATGGATTTCGACGCCTGGCCAATTTAAAGGTAGTTAGTTAGCAGTTGCGATGGAAGAAATAGGTCTCCAGCATATGATATAGCATTAGATATGCATCTATGTACAGAGTCGCCTTCGTTTTAACCGTAGTAAGACTCGAAGAAACGCAAAGTTATCATTTATATATGTTTGCTTTGCACCATCATCAATAACAACATAACTGCCATGACAAAATTTTTATTTTGTCCTCCACAACCGTCACTGTATAGCGAGACGATCTCGACTTTATTATCATCGTATGATTGGAGAACTTTTTAAACGTAGTGTCATGAAATTCCTAAAGGCTACCCTGTGTACGCGCGACCTTCAGATGGCAACCGACTCGTGCTCGAGGCGACGGATCATTCAGGAATGCCTGCCGCTGACGCACTAGAAATGGCTAGAACAAGCGGAGAGTGCCGTCTAGTCATAGAGATGGAATTTTCGAGATCCTCTTGTGTCTTCTAGTAGCAGAGTTGGACTAATATAAATATCCGGCTCATCGGCGCACAGTTTAGTTTAGTTTAGAATATTGGAATGAAAAGTTAAAGTGTAATAAATAAATTAGAATTGTTAGTTAGTGTCTAAGTATTATATAAATTAAATAGTACGTCTGAAATAAATTGTAAATAGTGTGTTTTAAATAAATAACATATAAATAAATTAGACTATCGTCACAGTAGGTTGCTATTTCCCACGATCCCCTTTTACTGATACCCTCATGCCATGAAAAGCACTTGCATTTTTTGGTAGCAATATCATAATAGGTTAAATTGAAATTAGATAGGCGTGTTTTGTAGAAAACCTTAACGTCATTATATTTTGGTAAATAAAGAACTTGTTGCAGGTCAAAGGTACCACTTCGTCAGTAGCAGCTCTGAGTTTGCATTCGTTCTTTACTGTTCTTACTTTCAATTTCTCTGAATTGCATTTCTCATAAAGATCTTTGTATGTCATACACAGTGAGCATTGATCCTTCTTTGGCCTGTGGAAGGACAAGTTCTTAGTACGATAAGTAGTGATGCTTGGTAATTCATCGCTTGCAGTCAGTTCTTCTAAGAATAACGAATAAATTTTCGAAATACTGAGATCGAAATGAAGGTATTCTTGTGTACTCTTTTCTCGATAATAATGGGATCCTATCCTTGGAAATCTGTTAACGTGATTTTCTATGGCTGTGTGAATAGCTGAGTCTCTATTTTTAATGTTTTCTGATTGTCTGCCTCCTCGCATATCTGATGCAACAATACCGCAATCATTGGACTTTCTCCAGTGCTGTTCTAACAGTCCTCTCCGAGATACCAAGAACTTTTTACAGACCATTGTATGTTTACTGAGTCTTGTCAAGTAATAAAACATTGTTTTCTGTCGTCTAGATTTTTCTGTTTTAGATGTCATTTGTTTAACTTCACCTATTTTGGTATACTTTACTATAAATTGTCTTTGCATATTCAAATTGCCTATCTCTTTATGGTCATTCCCATCCATGGCATAATGTTCGTATATTATTTCCCGTTCCTGTTTGTCAATATTTCTCTCTATCTCATTGTGTAAAGATATTTTCTTGCATCGTTTTTTGTTTCTAATATTGTGTTCCTCGAAACATAATTTTAAAAATGATTAAAGCAAAGCAACTTAAAACATCTATGACATGAATTGAAAACCTCGTCTTTATATTTATATACCTCACAGCCTGCTTGATAGGGAGGATTAGCATCAGAATCATAATCGCTGAATGGATCAGATAAAGAAGGTGAAAATATTTCTACGTATTCTGAAAAAAATTTAAATTTTAACTTAGCTATCAATTATACATAAATAACTAGTAGGTACCTTTAGGATTAATGGCATCTCCTTGAAATATGCTTGATCTGCACAGTGATTGATATTTTTATTTTTTGATTTTGGTACAGATTCAGGTATGGTACTAATAGGAGTCTGAATAACATTTTCTGAACTAGCGGTAAATGTTCCATTTGTACACTCATTATTTTCTACAATAATTCGCAATAATAACAAAAATTATATTTAATAGCTGGCTAAACTTTTATTTACTTACCAGTGTATTTTTTTGGCAGTGCTTCTGTATTTTTGGGAGGTTTGATCAAATTAGTCAGCGGTAGATCATCGTCTGTACAATATTCACTGGTAGGTTCCTCGGTACCTATCACGACACTCTTATACTACTTTTTTTTTATACAACATTAAAACTACACTCCCAATTTTTATAATTCCAGACGTTTTCAATTCATTCGATAAAACAACGTTAATTGTTCCATCCTCCCATCTCACTAACACATCCATAGTATTCGATTAATAAAGAAATCACTACACTATGTGTCACCTGTACCACAGCGAAATGAAGACTGTGTTTATAGTTAAATTAAAACAATCTGTTCAGTTGTTAAATCAAGTCGTAACTCGCAAACGTGAGATAAGTGAGTTCGTGTTTTCATATTAATATCATCACAGTTCGAAAAAGAAATCAGGAATAGGCGTAAGTCGACATATGTCTATTCGTGTTTAATAAATTTTACCAAAATGAGATACGTCAAGCAAAAAATAATGGGATATACGTAGAACTATAAACGTTTGTGTTACGCCACTACGTGCATTCAATAGAGGATATAAAGTTTGATCAGTACGTGGCGTATCTCAATTTTGCATTTTTTTGAGATACGTCACTACGTGTTTTGAGGGACGATATATTATGAGAAACTTACCACAGCAAACTAGTGCATAAAGTGATTGTTTTACCAACAGATATGTCACTTTGCCCACAAATCTGTCAATTTCTTATTGTGGTTTAAGTTTCTTGAGTTGTGTCCACTTTGCAAATGCATTTTGATGCAGAGGAGTGTGTTTCGAATAGTAAAATATAAAAAGTATTATCATTGTTACTAACAAGTCAATCTAGTACTGTTGCTTTTGTCATGGCAGATGGTTAGCTATAGAGATTCTAACGAAAACAATTTGAATTACCGTTAAAAAGTACTTTGTCTCACGGTATTATCAGTTTTTACCTTGTTTAACTATTACATATTTATCATTAGAAATTCCAAAATACATTTTTTAAATTTTCTCGACGAAATAATGATAATTGAAAAATTTTAATCTTTCTATCCTGGCGTAGGAATCGAAGCGCCCATATTAGTATTTTAGGCACTCTGCCTTACCAATTCGGCTATCAAGACATTATATGTCTGGAGTCCAAAAATTTTATTACTTACTGCCATATTAAACAATATATTGTATACTAATGTACCGAATGGCGTACAGCAAATGACGATACGTTTTGATAATCAAACGAAATGGCGAAAGATGAATTTCTCAATGGTAATGATATGAAGCTAAATACGTTTTCCATCACAATCGACGAAGCGAAGAGATATAAATTTAAAATTGATTTTTGATAATGACACTGAAGGAGAACTAGGAAATTGGCAGACTATAGCAACTCCACCACCACCAATCGATTTGAGTGACAACAGAGCCCAAATATTCTAAATTATATATATAGTTAGTTGTATAACATTATCATCTACTTTATTTACAATATTAAAAATTATTGTAAAAATTATAAATAAAAAATTTTACTCTTCTTGTAAAACAAAAATAAATGTTTGAAATAGATAAGGTGTTTTAATTAAAAACAATGTAATGTAAATTCAGTACATGTCCACAAAGTCACTTTCTAGTTATTTAGTTTAATTGAATCTAACTTTTTTCTTTTTTGTAAAAATTTTTAAATTGTTACCTAATTGTGTTAATCAGTAGAGAGTTCCTGTTCACTATCTACATTAAAAGTCACTATTTTTAATTTCATTCTTTTAATTTTTTTCCTAACTTTCAGCTAGCAAGCTAATGGCATAATTTGTATTTATTAAACACCTACAGGGCGTCCATAATCATTAATATAACATTTTCTTTGTCTTTTTAAATAAAGATAGTGCCATTAATTTGTTAGTTAAATATAACACTGACCGAGCTAGGCTGGAGGGGTTTAAAATTTCTTTTCACAAGATTTTTTTTAAACCTGGCAACAACTAAGGTGGCAAATTTGATACCCAACGAGTTACTCGTAACAAAACTTGTAACAAGTTGTTGATGTAGCTCTATCACACTGTATTATAAAAATTACCTAATATAAAATGAAACCTAAAAATGGTCAGAAGTCATATTCTAACTATGGTAATACATGAAAAATACACTATATTTTAATAATGATAATCCTAATTTTTTGAACACGCTGTATGATTTATTTTGCAACGTGTAAGTAAGCATGAACAAACAAGTGTAACACGTGACGTAAGTTTCATGAAAAAAACAAGAATTACTTAAGAGTGGAGGAGATATATTTGAAAATATTAATTCTGCACTCCGTACATTTGAATCCACCTAACAGCTCAAACTTAAGGTCCATAAGAAAGTTACCTATAAAGGCCTGAAAAATAACATACTAAAATTTTAACAAATTCTGACATAACCCAAAATCAGTTCTGTGAAGCTGACCATCCGAAATCCAAAAATTTTTGGTTTTAGAAGCGGCATACGTTTGACCACCTATTGCCAGTTTGACCACAAACTAACTTTTTTTTGACCACCCTCAGAAATCTAAATATTTAAAAAATATATTAATAGCCGAGTGCCCACTGGCCCCCGAAGATAATATTTTTTAAAACTGCACATTTTTGACCATGTTTGACCAACCCTTAAATTTTTTTAATACTCCTTAAAATAATTTAAAGGGGTAAATTATAGAAAATGAAGAGTTCTGGGATGAATTACAACTTTGAAAGAATTATAAAGACATAGGATCCAAAAACGTTTAAAATTATGTATCGCCGTTTAATCACCCCCTAAAATATCTCAAAAGACCACAGAGGGGTAAAAAATTCAAAGAAAACATTTTCAAATCCAATTTCTAGTTCAACAAATTGGTCAATCGACATAAGAACACAATAAAGATTCATAAAGATTTAAAATTATGTTTTGACGTTTGACCACCCCCTAACAAATTTTAATGATTCTAAGTACTATGTAGATTCGAAAAATACCATTGGGATAAAAAATTCGACTTGAAAAGATGTTCAATAATTGACATGAGTACACAGTAAAGATCTGTAACAGTTTACAATTATGTTTTTATGTGGTCCCCAAAATAATTTTATGGCTACCAAGTAGTGTGAAAATTCTAAAAATAAAATTTGGAAATCCAATTTCAACTTGGAAAAATTGGTCAAACGACATAAGTGCAAAATAAAGATCCATAACGATTTAGAATTATGTTTTAACGTTTGACCACCCCCTAAAATAATTTTAATGTGTCCAAATAGTGTGAAAATTCGACAAATAAAATTTGGAAATCGAATTTCGGCTTGGTAAAAATGGTCAAACGACATAAGTTTACAATAAAGATCTACAACGATTTAGAATTAGGTTTTTACGTTTGACCACCCCTTTTATGTGCCCAAGTGGTGTGAAAATTTGAAAAATTAAAGTTGGAAATCGAATTTCGGCTTGGAAAAATGGTCAAACGACATAAATGCAAAATAAGGATCCATAATGGTTTAAAATAATGTTTTGATGTTTGTCCACCCCCTAAAATAATTTTGGTTTTTATAAGTAGTATGAAAATTCGAAAAATAAAATTTGGAAAGGGTATTTTGACTTGAAAAAAGTGATCAAAAGACATAAGTGTACAATAAAGATCCATACTGGTTTAGCATTAAGTTTTGACGTTTGATAACTTAAATATTTTTAATTTTTTTAAGCAGTATGAAAATTGGAAAAATAAAATTTGGATATAAAATTTCGACTTGGGAAAAAATGGTCAAGTGACATGAGTGTACAGTAAAAATCCTTAATAGTTTACAATTACGTTTTTTGGTCAAACGACATAAGTGCACAATAAAGGATAACGATTTAGAATTATGTTTTGACGTTTGACCACTCTCTAAAATAATTTTATTGTGCCAAAATAGTGTGAAAATTCAAAAAATAAATTTTGGAATAAACAGAGGTATGAAAATTAAAAAAGTTTTTTATATTTTTTTAGTCTATAAGAAAATATTTTAAGATGAATTTATTACCAAATTATTATTATTACTATTAAATTTATTTAATAACGTTCATAAATCTGTTTTAAAATTATGTTATTTGTTTTATGAAAAAAATATTGTTCTTAAAATTCTTAAATACCGTGTATTATTTCCCTATTTTTTATTATAATTATACTAGCTCATACTATCCTAATAATAAATTGGTATATTAGGGTCTCTATAGATAGTCTCCTCAACCATTAATCATTTTGTTGTCAAGTCACCCACTTATCAAGTTAAAATTAGATTTTAAAATAGAATTTATCGAATTTTTATCCTAAACATTAAAATTATTTTTGGGTGTGGCCAAACGTAAAACATAATTCTAAATCGTTATGGATCTTTATT